CCATTTTTCTCTTTTAATTTTATCACTATTTGCATACATGTCCAAATTTTGGCCTGACTCTTGGGAAACAGATCACTAAGAAATTGTGGGAATTGATAACATGTACTCATGAAACTGAATTATATAACTGTATGGCTTTGGCCACAGAAAAGTTCCTTCCATAATTCTCTGCCTGTGAATATCAGCCCTGACTCCTAGCACCTCCAGTTTTCATGTCTTGGGCTACATACAAACTGAGGCTGACACTTAAATTTGGACTTAGTAAAATTAATTTCACTTGAAGTACACGCTTTCAATAAAAATAGAAGGCTGTAATAACGGTGCAATAATTATGGCATAAACCAAGTGCTTTTACTTACATCTGTGTGCAGATACTCAGCTCAGTGTAACTGACTGAAACCTAATGGAGCCTCAACAGAGGGATATATTTTCTGTGTGGGAAACTTTCTGGGGGCATATAGTGTATGCACTATCACGTCATCCATACATTTTCTTTTGCTGTGGTGGCTATGCAACAGGCCAGGCATGCTCTGCACTTTAGCCATTTCTTGAGTCTGGTATTTACAATTATTTTCTTTTCTTTATAGCTCTTTATAATTTTCAAATGTTTACATGATGAACTACCATGCAGCTAATAGGTAAAATGAGATGCTGCAAGAACAACTTTGAAAAGCTTCTTTGTAGGACCAAAATCCTATAATTCCTTTTTGATGCTTCAGGGAATCAACAATCAAACAATATTGCTTTTCCTGTTTGCTTAAACTTATAAAAATGCAGTCAATTTATGGTAAGACAAAGAAAATATGGACATTCCAGCTTTGGGGAAGAAAATGAATTTTGAGTTCCTTTTACAATTCAAGCTGGTGCTGTTTACATGATTTAGATTGCAAGTAAATTTTATATTTGAAAGGGTGCCATAATTAAGGTATTATAAAGAAATTCTGTCTTCTGCACAGCAGAGCCTATTTGTTTGGCCTTATCAGGCACACAGTATAATCAGTATAATATAATAGCATTGTAAAATAGATCATGTAATCTGGCTGCATGTAAACTCAAGACAACATTGCTTATGCTCTGAAGCCCACTATCTGTCCAAAAAGGAGAGGAAAGCTGGTATTATTCTAGATGTAGTCCTTTTCATTGCCTGCTTTGCTCACTTCAGCTGCCCAAGTGCTTAGCCCCTTACAATGAACTTACAAAATCCTTGCAGCACTTACAGAATAGCTTTGGAATACCATCAGCACAAGTCTGGCTGAAACACTAATATTTCTTGCAAACAGCTGTAATGCAAATAAACTGATTAGGAATGTGTTAGGATCAGTGACTCTTGTGTTGCCTTCTGGGTCACAGGCTTAGTGATGAGTGGATCAGCAGCAAGTATATTGCAACTCTGATCCCAGCAATAGCATCCTTGATCACAGTCCTAGACTGATAAACTTTTCTAACAACCTTTGCTTGTCTTCAAAGATTTTTCATTAGATGTTTTGGTAGCATGGGAAGTAAGAATGACAGAAGGTCGTTTGGTAACTGATATGACTTACGTGGATCTCAGCACTTCAATTAACATTGTTATTGTAAAAATCAAATGAAGATGATCTCCTCAGCCACAAAAACAACCACGATGTAGACAATGCCTGAGATTTATACAATGCTGAAATGAGAAGAAAATGACTCAAAACACTGGGCTCTTTTGAACACATCATTCGTCAATTCACTAGTCAGATTGTATTCAATCTAGATGAAAGGAATCAATGGTACATTTAATTAAAAGGGTTATTGCTTTTGTAAGAGGACTTGCAGAAGGAATTGCAATTCTCAAAAGGTGGGTTCAAAGTGTTCTTCATAGGGCACATCATACCTCTTTTATACCAAAGTCGCACAAATGAAGGCATTTCCTTTAAATGTGTGTAACTGCATATTTGTGCAGCTAAGTGACTTGGTTTTTAGAAGTGCTGGGTGCTGACTTATTTTTAAGTTTACGGTAAGCTTAAGGTCTTCACTTCACTGCCTGTGTAAAGTAGCCCATTTATATGAGTGCCTAAATATAGATCTTGGTGCTTGACTTTAGGCTGCCAAACTTAACAATTTTGGCTTTGATAAATTTAACAGACTTTCCAAGCTGAAAGCATGGCAGTAAACTTTTCTTTGCTAGACAAAAATTGACTGCATTACAGCAACATAATGTATATCCTTTGCACCCATTCGACAAATTCTAAGTGCTGTGAAAAAAATAACAGCAGAAATGGGAGAGTGAATTCTGAAACTGAACTCTAGGCTTAAGCAAACCCCGACATTTTTATGTTTCTTTTACCACACTGACCATTCTACTGAAAAATGTTTTGATAGACTATCAAGTAGAAATTTTTCATATACTTAGGTATATGTACCTCAAAAGCATAATAATCAGAGACAAGCATGTAGTCGAACACATAGCTTTATAAACTATATTATTGCCAATTTTATCAGTCTTTGTACCTGGTAGGTTACTCAATGTTAAAAATTCAAACCAAAAATTCAAGACTAGAACTACAGCTGTTGTAAATCCATGTGCCACACGCACTTCAAAGAAGAGAATGTGCTGATATAATCCAGCTGAGCCCTTGGCCTCTAGACATGAGTTTACATTCAGCACTGAGAGTGAGATCTACAGGTGGTATAAGTCAAGGCAAGTCAAATGCAAGTTAGTAGAGCAGCACTAATTTGTGGCAGCTGAGGAGCAAGAAGTAGATTATAATGACAAAGATGTTTCTCATTACCTTTCTTAAGCACCTTCTTATATTAAACAGGCAAACAAATCCACATACTTAAGTAGAACAGTATAGATTGGCAGCTTCTGCTTTAGTGATGGTTTCTTTGGCATTACTGTATGGCAGTGATTCTACAGTTGTAGGTGAGAGAGCTGGCTCTGTTGAAGAAAATGTTTTTTTGTAGTGTAGAGCAGAGTGTAGGAGCAGTGCAAACTTGTTTAATCCTGAAGGAAGAAGAGTGGTAGAATTTCTTCCTATGACATAGATGCAAGAAGCTTCTAGAGGGTCATTGTTGATTTTTTTTGTTGGTGAGGAATTACTTTCAGTTTCGAAAGTACTGGATTTCTGACTGATGTAAATTAGGGTCAATCTGTTGAAAATTAAAGTGTTCTGAGATTCAAGTTCACTGTAAAGTTGATTTTAAATGTGCTTGTTCTAGTGCTTTATATGAAGCTCATGTAAAGATGAAGAATATAGTCTTAAAAGGAATAGAATAACTACAGGGATGTAGGAAAAAGGGACTTAAAAATTTGGATTAGACTTTTTTCTTTTATAATGAAGAATCAAACTGGGTGCTTTAATATGTGACTATTTTAGTAGTCTAGATTAAAGTCCAGGATTTATATCTCTGTATAGGGGGAATAGCTCTGAGGCTAGTGAACAAGGTAAACTGTGAAAAGCTACATAGCTTTCTGGGAAGGGGAATAATGTGGGAAATGAAATGTGATTTAGTTGTGGATAATTTATATGTAGATTGACCTTTGATTTGCACTTTGAAAGTACAATACTGATAGGTGTGTTTGCAGGTCACTGTGCTTGGAAAACTGTGAGCAGTTGTGCTGTGAGGTATTCAGGAGAACAGCATGTTGGATCAGAGGGACAGTTTCCAAGGCATAGAGCCCTGAACCTGCTTTGAGAAATATTTTCAGATTTTATTAAAGATCGTGACAGTGGAGGATGTGTGAAAAAGCTTCTATTTGCAAGCTACTGAAAAAATGCAATTCAAAAGTATGCTGAAAAATGTGGGATCTTTGCTGCTGACTGTTGTCGTTTTAAAGCAGTAACTAAAAAAACTAGGAAACTTATTTCTTGCTGTGAGATGTGGATTAGAACAAGAGCAAAACAGACTTAAAAGGAATAAAGAAAGTTTATTAACAAAAATACAAGAATAAGAACACCAGAATAAACCTTCCAGAAAACCCTTTTTTCCCCCACTACCCAACCATTCTTTTGTTTACGTGACAACATAGAGACAACAAACTTTGGAACTTTGGTGTTTAAACAGTCCCCAATTCCTACTAGAATCTTTTCATCAGTCTCTGTAGAGAAACAGAAGTCTTCTTCTGCTAATGTATGGAGTTTCTCACAAGAAAACTATTTCTGTTGCAGCTTTCTATTTTTCTGATGCCAGGTGCCCGGAAATCCTGTCATCAGTTCACTCCCATTTCACATCACTCTGAGGTGTGTATGGGTCAAATGAGTCTAGGGATGTAATTTTTAAGGATGAGTTATTCAAAGGCAAAAGTTTTCTTCATTTGTCTCTGTGAGCTTCCTGGAAACAGAAGTTTTTTCTTTGCCTCTACAGTGGCCCCAAATCTTCAACTATTACTTCTCCCCCCTCTGTTACAGCACCTCTCTGTATCACAATTACTCCACCTTTTGCTCAAAATCCACACTTTGAATGCTCCATTCCTCTCAATATACTCTGTCATGAATTAAAGGAGTTTTTTTCCGAACACTATTGTCCATCTCCATAGCTTTAACAGAAAAATATTTCAGCTTATAAAGCATTTCCTTATTCTCTCTTCCCCATCTAAAACTTAACTCTTTTCTTCACTGTCTTTGATGGTTTTTATGATGTCTTTTTCATGCTGATTCTCTCTCTCTCTCTGGGAAAAAGGAGTAATCTGTAATTTACATGTCTCATCCATGTAGTAAAAGAACTGAAGCCTTGGAAAGGCTGCAGATGTTCATGGTGTCAGGTTTCAGTCCAGCAGCAGAAACTACAAACTAACCCAGGCCGGCCAGCTCTGTTTCTCCCACCCTGCCCTCTGCGGCCTTGTCCGGCCTGGAAAGGGGAGGGGGGAGGCCGAGGCAGAGCCTTGTTACCTTGTCAGAAGCCGGAAACCCAAAGAGCACAAGAGAGCTCTGGATTTACATCTTAAGGTGGTGTTCACAAGTTGCTCTCACTTCCGAATGGTTAAAACCTCCGCCAATTCTCAGAAATGACCAATAATTGCTCAGGAGAAAAGACTCCCATCAGCCACCAGCAGATTCAACTTCCTTAGCTCCCAAAGCTATTTTAAAGTCACCCTATGACACTGACTTATCTGTTTATTGCAAATAAGTGCATGAGGGAGTATTCAAGGAATTTCCTCAGCTGTATGCTCCAGCCCTGCAAGCAGGGTAGTACCTGCTGCCAGTGCACAGCCCACGGTGAGCCTGGGCACTGGAAGGCTTGGTAAAGCACAGGAGGCCTCTCACAAGCAGGAGAGTGTTTGCTCTTCCTGATCAATGGCCTCACATTAGTTTTTAAAAAATGTTGAATATGAAGTTTGGATCTGGCCTGAAAACAGCATTTTTTAGTATGAGACCAAGGCACAAAGGGTATGTGATTCTGCACACATTTTTTTTTTTGTACTTTATATACAAAATCCCAGGTGCTGGGACTTGGTTTGCTTGAAAGGCTTTATTCCTTATACTTCAATACAAACACTTGGTGTCGTGGCTACAAATGTTCACATATTTGCTCTTTGTTCAGGCTGATGGCTGCTGCATTTATAGCCTAAGTGATCAAGTGACTGCCTGTTAAGCCCAAATCAATGCACAAGTGTTTATTTATTTGATGCAGATGAAGAATTTCAGGAAAGATTTGAGAGACTTTAAAAATCTGGCTTTGGGGTAAGTGTTAAAGAGGTTTGATTCTTTTGTAAATATAAAACTTTTTTCATATACTTGTGCAATTTGGGTGGCATTGCTGTTCAAAATCCATTTGATTCTCTGAGTGGTAGAACCCATTGCACAGAGAGAAGGCTGGTCATGCCTCCTGCTACCAGGAAAAGCCACAACCATTCAGAGAGTAATTTGAAGAAACTAAAGTTTCTTCATTAGTATTAATTTTAGTAAATTAAAAGTTAGTATTAATTTTTTGACTTGGAAAGAACTTGACTTCTTTACATGCTTGATGGGGAAGGAAGCAAAACAGCATCTCTGCTCTGTTTTGCTCTAGGCAGTTGTTCTTTCTCACGCTTTTGGGGAACATCTTTGCTTATTTGTCTTTTCATTCTCTCTCAGATGGGGGGGCCTTAAATTTAACCTCTTCTGTTTGTTATGGGTCAGTAGTTGTTAAATCTGACAGCTAGGAATGAAGTCTTAGTTCCAATAATTGATAATTTCTAGAGAGAAGATATGCGCTATTGATTCAACTATTTATTTATGTTGCATACAAGCACCAAATTTGTCTAATATAGCTATTTTTTTTTCTCTTTATAAAGTGTTTCAGTGTGGATAAGCTGTTCATTGAACTCTTTTGAATTAACTGTATATTGCAGGTCCTACCTATGATTGCTAACTGTTGTTTTTTTTTTCCCCAAGAATTCATCTTCTCCATCTCTTTTGATCTAAACCAGTGTAACTTGCTTTACAATCAGTTTTCAGTGGAACCACAGATGAGGGTAAGCTGGTTTACCCTTTGTAAAGTGATCCTCTTTTCTGTAATTGTCAGCCTCAAGTGAGATGAATATTCTATTTTTGTTGATCTCTAAAAGGCCTCAAATTATTTGGTACCAGCAAGGACAAATAAATGTGCTGGGGACAGGAATAGCAAAAGCTCCTTTCCTGAGTAACAGTCTGAGAAGAAATCATAATTGACATATCATCATTCTAGGTCATAGAAAACCAGAAGAAAGTCTGTTCTTTGCCATCTGTGTCACTTAATACAAATCTCAACAAAACAGAAAATCAAACTCAATAACCTACAGCAACAAAGGAGTAACACAGTGTCCATTAAATGCTGATTTACTTTAAAACAAGCAAAAACACAGCAGTGCCTTATCACAGATGCACAACAATTTGTAGACTACTGGATTTCTACCAAGGAAAAAATGTTTCAACTAAAGGTGCCCTGAGTCAATCTGAATCTTGGTTATCTTGCTGATAGTGTACTGATATAGATTAAATATTGAGTAGTTTCTTCCCATTCTGCCTGAACTGTTCTTTTTGGATACTTGAGAAAACAAAAATTCTGTGATGGGGAAACAATTTTTTAAGTCTCTAAGATGACCTGTCAAGTTTAAGCTATCAACTAATGACATTTTTAAATGTCACTGATTTGAGAAATAAACCATTCCCCCCAAATTCTCAAGTTTGTCAAGATTTGTGAGATAAAAAGATGAAAAGCTTTGAGCTTCTCTGAGTTAATATGACCCATTTCTTGTCTTTAGCATGAGTAGCTTTTCTGGTTTTGTAGGAGCTGATGGTCACTTACAGTGGGAAGAGCAGGTATCCTTGGTTAAGTAGTTTAAAATATTTGTAAGGAATTGCTGTATATTAATTCTGGACCACAGGCCTAGCTGTTCTTGTGTCTTAGTACATGGCAAGTACAAAATAACTTTGTTTTGCTTGCGCTAAACCACAGTACCTTTCATGAGCTGGGGAGATAGATAGGAACAGGTAGGTATACTGACTCAATTGATATAAAGCAATTTAAGATTCCAGAACTTGATTCAACACATACACAGCAAGACTCGTGTTTTAATATAGAAATGCTGGTTGTTAGGAAGAAGGGGAAGGGATTTCCTCATCATTTTAGAATAACACACCATGTGGGGTGAATTTTCAAGGCTGTATTAATGCACAGCAGCTCTGCTCTTCCACTTTAACACCAGACAGACTGAGTTGTGCAGAGCAGGGAAGGGTGAGGTCAAGGGATGAGGACAAAAGTCCTCCCACTTCTCTTTTCTGAAACCAGAGCTGTGACAACTTTCTGTCTTTTCTTAAGTTCTTGGAGCATTTGGACACTTGGGATTTTCACCCATGTTGTTAGACCTATCTCAGCATTTATGTCAGAGCCTGCCCTTTGGGGCTCCAATCCTTGTGGGCAATCTGGAAGCTTTTCTGAAGACCTGCAAATTTGAGAGTAATTCTGTTGTGTTACTTATTTACCTACTCCAATTAAAAAAAAAAAAAGACAAGTGAGATTAAAATCCAACTGTTCAATCAGTTTACAATTGAATGAATTCATTGAGGGGTCAGTAATGTGTTACACATGATTTTCTAGTCACAAGTCTCATGTTAATTGCTTAGTCAAACTGTCTGAAAATTCTCACTGCCTGACCTGTTCATTATGTCAATCTCTCAAACTGATTCTCACCTGCTTATGGGTTCCAAGAGTGCTCATTTATTGCTTTTCTGATTGCACACTTTGTTTTGCTGGGACTTAATTTCTACTGGGTCTCTTTAAATAGATCCACAAAGAATGTGCATCTCAATGTGTGGTGTAAAAATCTTAAATAGAAACCCTGAAAATCTTGGGGCTTTGTCCCAGTTTGACATTATTCAAGACATATTTTTACTGTACAGGAAGTAATTAGACTTTATTGTGGATCTAAAACAGTTTTTTGGTTTTTTTTTGAAGTGGGAGTATAAATATTTGACTTAGAAGTTGCCAGATGGGAAGGGAGATTTATCTTTTTTCCTGCTTCAATCTTTCACTCAATAAGTAATATAATGATTTTATCTTTATGCTTCTATAGTAATGATTAATGAAGGCTGTTATGGCTGGATGAAAGGTGGATTTGCTAAAGTGTCTTTGAATCCAAAACTATATAAGACTGATTAAAAACAAAAAACCCAACAAAATCCAAAAACCCCTAAAATTTTTTGAACTGTCTGCTGATGAGCTACTCTGTTTTTTATGAGCCATACCAGATGAACATTTCTAGAATTTCTAGATTACCACCTTTTAAATTACATCTCTCTTCTTCTAAAAGTACAACTGTAAAGTTGGAAAAACAAAATTAAATCAATTAAGCTGGGTTAAAATGTGTAATGAGATTTTTACTGGGGCCAAAGTATAAAACCATCCAGGTATTTTCTGTAGAGATTTTGATGTATTCTGTATGTGTGTTGTGGAGTGGTTATTTTATCTGCTTAGGGTTTGTATTTTCCCCTTTTTCTTAAATCTAGAAGATTTGGCTCCGCTTTTTCATTCTACCATGGGTGTTCCTATTAATAGAAAATCTCAAGCAATATGTTGGCTCCAATAATCTGTAGTGTATCTGTCTTTTAAAGCTTTAATTTATATTCATTTCCTACAATTATCATGCTGTAAACTCTCCATACAAGACACCAATTTTGATTGCATTCACCTTACACTGAGCAGGATGATAGGAAATTGTGCATCACACTAGTCATTCAAGGTACAGCTGCCTGCCAGTCTGTTAATCAAGATTCAGCCTCCCTGTAGCTTCATAATTTAAAAGCAGGCATTAGAAGCATTTCATCCCTGTTTCTAGTCATTAAGACTGCTGAACCAGCAAATCCAACTGGCTGAGAAAGACGGATCATATTCCTTAAAATATTGTCACCTGCTATCTGGGTATTGGATGGTTGTACATCACATTGAATCAACCACTGTACCTTTGAGAGTGTAGTGACCTCCAGTTAGAGATATTTTCTTTGCAATTGCTTGTACTAAGTGGCAAGTGCCTGCTTTAAATGGTGGATGTTTGTACCACCCATCTCTTAGTCTCAAATAGCATGAAAAATTACTGAATTTTGCTTTCTTTTTTTTTTTTTTCCTTTAATAAAAAAGAGTTATTTTGTAATTGCTTTCCATTGTTAGAGGACCACAGAATCCTTTTCTGAAATACTGATGGTGCTATTTGTGTGGCTCTTCAGCAATACCATATCAAGCTGCCCAGCTTCAATGAGCTGTCAGTGCCCTTTGGGATTTGGCAGAGAAGTGACTGCTTTTGGCTAATGGGCTGAGGAGATGGCTTTCAGATTCCCTAGTCATCTCCTTGCTAGATCTGCTTCCTTAGTTGTGGTATAAATGCAAGATGAAATTGGCATTCCCCAAGCAGATTCAGTAATGAATTGTAGCAGCATACGTGTTTGTAAACTGCTGTTAGTGAATTTACAGTTGGAGAAAATGGAGGCCTGGATAAACTTGTGATTTTCTGTCGTTATTCATGAAATAAATTACAGTCAGGAGGCAAAAACAAGTCTTTTATAGGACTGTATACAAAATCTGTAAATGAAGGCTGGTGGCCCATGTAATATCCTAAGGAATTAAAAGTGACTAATTTAAGAAATACCTCTAGTAAACACAGCATATTTTTTTCCAACACTGTCTGCTTTGATTCAATTAAGGAATTAATGTCTCTCATTAAGGAGTCATAATATTTGGCACATTTTGTAAAACATGTCATAGCCATTGTTTCTATATAGCTTAACAAGTGCAAAATTTACTTATTTAAAATACGTTTCCTTGTAATATATCCCTGGGCATCCTGAACATAGCTAGAAGAAGATACAGAGACCCAATGAGGGAAGAAACCACCTGGAGATCTGGCATAGAAATTTTGTCTATATACATTTATTACTCTGATACTTGACCATAGAATTAATTTATTTAATTTTAAGCAATGAGTTTATATATATGCTTGTGAATTTCAGATAAATCAGCACTGCAGAGGGTAGGATTTGGAGCAACAGAACCAAATTAGGATCAAAATCACGCTCTGCTGGGTGTTACACAAATGCATAGACACTGTAGCTGGTCCACATATTTTGCAGTCTACATGATGAAGATCACATTTGCTGGTAATAAACAGCAGGAGGGCAGGAGGGAAAGGAAAAAGAAATAAATGAGGAAACTGAGCACCATTGTGTATTTGATGGTGAGGTTCATTAACTGAAAACAAATAGCTCGTTTGAACAGTGTGAGTGCCATGCTTGTGAACTTTATGGAGAATGACTCCAAGAGTATTGAAGAGCAGTGAGAAGATGCACTGGGTGTCTGTGAAATATAGCCTGCCCACAATCATCTTGAGTTTTCATCACAGTCCATAGGCACCCTACCTAAAGCTCAGAATGCTCAACAAGATGACTTCCAGGAATCTCAGTGATGTTTGCCTTAAGTTCTGGCTGAGACGGACATCTGGAGCAGTTATTCTATTTATAGAAGTAGATCTTATAGGAATAAAAACAGAAGGATCAGTATGTGTGTGGTGTTATCAAAGCTGTAATGAGTTGTACTGTGCAAGGATGGCAAAATACATGCATGTGTGCATTTAGCATGTGATTTTGGCATCTGTTTCATGTTTCAGCATTTCTGTTATGGTATTTAATTTTTAAAAGGTTTCTCCGCATCTTTATGTGATTCATGAATTCAGAGGCCTGCTGGGAGGTTTTAATTTGTTTTTAAAGGGTTTTAAAAAATGAGAGTTGGACTAAATATGAGAGTATTAGCTGCCTTTTTTTATTATTATTATAAGGTCTGTAAAATCTTTTTAATGGATGTGAAAAGACAAGTGGTATTGCTAATAATGCACAGCTATTACTGCATCACAGCGAGCGGTTGACCATAAGGAAAAAAAATCTCAGTACTCTTAGTGCCAAAGTAGGTGGAATGACTTGTGCTTTACAGCATCTAGACACGTGCAATCACTTGGGACTTGTCTAACTTCATGAATTTTCTCACATCTGTCAGATGAATCGGGAATCCAAACGCCAAAATATGTCATTCATATCCACCATGTGTGTCTTTGAATGATTCATGTTTCTCTTGCAAAATCACTGTGTAATTGCTGAAGTAGAGAGACAAATTCTTTTTCTAAGGTTGCCTCAGTAGGGAAACTCATCTAACATGGCAGGGTTATTCTTATACTAATAATAGTAATGATTCTATTACTATTGTTAGTATAATAATATTCCTACTCATATTATAGCAGTTAGCCATTTCTACTTGTGGGGCATGGCACATCTGATTCTACCCCAAGTATAACACAGGCCTGCAGAGGAAGGACCTATGAAAACTGAGTGGCATTGGGTGACATGAAAGGATATTTGGGTGAGGCCATTGAAAGTGCAACCTTTTCAACTTGTTAGTAGCTGTTGTGACAATGCACTTCAAGGGGAGATGTAGAGGACTGTAATGGGGTACTGTTCAGATGTTTTCAGAAGACAGATGTTTCACACAACACAGGAAAATGCACAAGAGTGCTTCTTTTCATATTTAACAGCTCATCTTTACTTATTGTAATCACATTACTCATACCTGTTGCATGCTCTTAATCCTCCTGAATCCTCCACATAATCCTAATGTTTAAGAGATTGGGACTTCCGGTGAGGGCCTATTCATTTTCACTGGAGTACAGCTCTAAAATGCTCATGTAAAGCATTTTGTTGTACAGCCTGCCTATTCTCCATTAAAATGTCATCTACTGCTCCTTGGTGTTCTCTTAGAACTTAAATTTCATCAACCAGTGAGATTAGTAAGTCAATATTTCTTATATTCTATACAACCCATTGCCAATTCTATATAACAATGTTCTTAAAGGAAATACTTATGTTAGGGAAGGGATAATAATACTAATATTTCAGATAGGCCATGGTTAGTGATAGTAGCCACTAGACAGTGTCTGTTTGCCAACATAATTTTCAGTAGTTCCTTACTGAATATTCTTTAGTTGCACTGTAATCAGCAGGGACTGGTTTGTATTAAACACCTGGTACCTCTAGTGGTGTCAGCTGCATTTAGTGTAATATAGTGAACTGTGAGTGAATTTATAAATTCCCCAGAGGACATCTGATCAGTCAGGCAGGTGCACAGTGAAATTTGGTGAATGTTTTCAAAAGAAGCTAAGACAGAGGCGGGTTTTTTTTGGTCATTTGTCTTTTGTCTCAGAACCCTACATTTTCTGTGGCTATTTTCTATGGTGTGAGGTCTAGTACCCAGTTTGGGGCTGATCAAGGAGTGCAGACAGGAGAGTGGGTGGGGATTAGGGGAGAAAAATGTTGTCTGAAAGCATGGTTGCTCTTCCATCACCCAACCCTGAACAGGGACACACCCTGTGCAGTTTTCTGGCAAACTATGATTCAGAGATCAAGCAGTTAAACCTGATTTTTGAAAGCCAGATATCTCAAACAGCAACATATATCACTGTCCTCTTTTGAACACGTAGGCCATAGGTCTGGCTTATGTTTGGTGAGATGTTTCCCTGAGCCCTTAATTCTGAGCAACATAATTTCACACCTAGACCTTGTTTTCCCATTTCCCCATCCAGATGATAATTCCAGCAGCTGGACAGTCTCTATAGTTTTCCCCTCATGAATATTCATGCCTATTCATTTAAATATTCCCAGTGCTTTCATAGAAACAGAAATCTTAATATAGTTCTGAAAGAATTTTAACAATGTCCAATGGAAACTTGCTCTGCTGAAGAGAAAGTCTTTCCATTTCTTGTTTAGATGATTTTGGGAAGTAGCTCAGGAATGACGGAAAAGTGCTGCAGTTCAGCCAATGGAATGGAAGTCTGCACGTGAGCCTGCTGAGAACAGCTTCATTGCACGTTATCTAAAACTCACTGTGTTGTAAATTATTAGGAACAAACAATCTAACATGTGGACTTCATGGAATCTGGCTTTCTTGTGCATCAGCTGGCATAAAAACCCCTAAACACCAGCTTTGGAGATCACGAACTGATTAAAATCTCCCTGGTACATAGATAGAGAGGAAGCAAATTGAACAAAAATCCTCCTAAGAAAACCTTCTCAAGTATGAACTATTTGTCAAGTTTAGAAAGGTGAGATAAGAAGTACAGGAGCTAGTTTCTATATCTGTCTGACTGTCTATCTGCATAACTGCCTTTAAGTACAACCTTGCACTTCTACCCTGTAAATTCTGAATAACAGCACTGTCTACCTCAATAGGGTATTAAAAAAGTATTGCCTGCCAGAAGATGCCATCCCTTAGGGTGTGCTCTATGTGATGCAGAAGCTCTGATGAGCCAGACAGTGGCATAGCTTTTGGATTTAAATTGGAGTCCCATCTGGAAATTACTTCCTGCATTAAGTTAATCAGACACAACTGAGTGGAGCTGAACTCTGGCATTGCTTAGAGGTTGGGGCTCTGTCTGGCCGGAAACAGGTGGGGGCCATCTACTCAGAAGATGGACAACGTGTTCTGATCATATTGTTTCCCTTAATTTTTACAGGTTTTTTTTTTTTTTTTCTTTTTTGTGGGAGCTTAGGATTTCAGCCTGACTATCTCTGAAAAACAGACGTGGACTCCAGTCGAGTTGTGTACTGTTTAAGCTTAGAAAATGTGTGCTTTTTGCTTGATTGCACAGGCTTTCATTCTGCTGTGACCTCCTCAAAGCAAAGTGCATGGCATCTTTTCTATAATTTTTTTATTAACCCAGACATAAAAAACCCACGTCTCACGTTCCAAACAAAAAATCAAAATTGCAAAAAGTAAAATTTCTCAATTTTAAAATAGATGGTGAAGGATATACCCTGAATTTCAGTAATATCAGACTGAAAAGCTAGCTCTCTGACTTAATTTTTAAATTAAGTAGTACAAGGATGAAACCAGAAATGCTCTGAGATGTCCCCCAGAAGTTGAGCAGGCTTCACAGTTTTCTGCATTTCATTGCATACAGTTATTTTGTTAGTTAGTTGTTGTTTGTTTTGTTCTGTTTGTTTTTCCCCAGCTTTTTCTATGAAAGTATGTTCCCTTCCAGGAGATAAAGTTGTATTCTAGAGCCAAACCTTTAGTCATCTTTACTGGATGTATTAAGCTTAACCTTTACTGCTTGTGTGACCTACATTATGCTTTCCACAGTGCATGTCATCTTGTCACTGAGACAGTAGTTAAGTTTTCAAAGTGGCTTGAATTGAAGTAATTTTTGCTAACACTGAACATAATGGATGTTAGATTTTTAATGGAGCAGGAATGCTTCTGACCAGATGAAATTCCACCCAGATAACATCTGTCAATCTGATGTGCCTCAAAGAGGGAAATAAGTAAGCAAGATCTCTTACGGATGCTGTTGAACAAAAAGATACCTCTTCCACCAGTCTCATGGAGATTTTATTCAAATTCAAAAAAGTGGAATTTCTACCACACATAGCAAGCAGTGAGAGTCTTCTTATCCTTCAGACTTAGTCACTAATGGATTTCTCAGACAGAACCATTTTTTGAATACCAGCAGAAAGGTGGTTTCCTTACAAATACCAAAACAAATACAGTATGGATTCAGTTTGACTCTTGCTGGTAGTTGTTGCCAGCTGGGGAGCTGTTTCAGCAACATAACATGATTGCATGACAGTAATGTAGAAGAGGTCCAGTTGTCCTGCTGCAGTCTTGGCAAATGTCTCCCTGACTGTAGCCAAGTTTTTCCTGACATCTCTGCCTTGTGAATTGCTTCATGTTGTTTCTTTCTGTCAAATCTCATTTCCTTCCCATCCTATTTCTCAGGCAAGTTAGGCCCAGATACATGGTTGGAATTTCTTCAACAATAAGTGCATGATTTGGGAGACTAATAACTAATTCTGAGACCTTCTCCAAGGACCATCCTGATCATTTTGTTGGAATCATCTTGCACTCTGTGAATATCCAGGTGCTGCCTGTCTGATGGTTATGCTGTGGATGTGTGAGTTAGAGTGGCAGTGAGAATAAACTTTAGAAGCTCCTTGCTGAAGGTGGTGCTGTCACCTGCTGTCTTCCAGCTGGGTCTGTCAGTTTGTTGCGTGAGACGTTTGTTCTACTTCGGTCTAGCTGACATCCAGACAGGTTGAGACTAACCCCATGCTGTATGGTGTATCTTCTCTGCCTCCAAACAGTCTTGTATTTTTTCACTTGTTCTTTGTGAATCTGGTTCATTTCTCAGAAACAGATTAGAGACCAATCAGACCAAGCTAGACAAGCTTAAGGTCAGCTTCTCTCAGGGAAGCAGTGACAAGCAATGGGTATGCTAGAGGCAGTAGCATCTTTGTGTCCCAGAGCCATGCCAAGCAGAGCATAAACAGTCTTGTTCAAATGTACAAGGTAGAGGAAAAACTTCACACTCAGTCTGTGCTAAGCCAGGCACAAGTAATAGGGCTTTCAGGCCCCACATTTATGTTTAGATGAGGAATCAAACTAGTAAGGTGCCTAGCAGATGTCAGACTTGCATAGATTTTTTTTTTTCAAAATAAATTCAGTTGCCAGGAAGTCAGGAATAATTTTTATTTCTTTCTTTAGCTTATATCACTTATGACTTAGATGGTTTTCTTTTATAATGTTTTATTATACTTTCAGGACAGTTAAAAGAAAAATAATTACAAGCACATTAAAAGTTGTTACTCAATTAGTCATACTGTCATATCACTAAATAGAATATGCAATACACCCAAAAAGGCATGTTAAAATGTCCGAAGTTATATGAATTATTAACTTTGTAAAGCAAACATTTAAGAATTCGAAAATTTGGGAATTCACCTCACCTGTCTTTGTTCATGCCCATGTTGTGCTTGTGTTAAAATGAAAGAGAAATAGAACTAGGTTGTCTAAAGCTTAGTTTTCTCTGTATTCAGTGTATTTTTTCAGGTTTTTGATGTATTCTGATATGCAGTGAATGAGCAAAATATTACCCCACACTGGAGCCTGTGTGCCTGAAATGCAGAGAGGATGAGATCATTATTGATGGAGATTCATGGAGATTATTGATGGTGTGACTTGTCCATATGCACCTGCACATACCCACTCTGTATGTGCAGCTCCAGTGGCTATTCACAGAGGGTTCTCAAATGGGCCCTACGCTGTGGAAAAGTAAAAAATGCATCTGTTTGGAGAACAACATGATGTAGAATGGCTGTGTCAGAGGCAAGAGCAGAGGCTGGTGAAGGAGCTCTCATCTCAGTCAGCGGTGCCATTTGGTGTCTTTCCACAGCTCGCTGTCTCCTCTGTCCCACACCTTCCAATTTCTGCACCAGACGTGTGGGGTCCTTCCCACACTCTGAAATCTCTGTTCACTCCTTGTGCCCCAACGCATTGTTCCTAGTATTGAAGATGGTAAAGATACCATGGGAATATGTTGAGATCAAGAATTAAAGATTTTCCTGTGATTTGCATATACATCTGTATATTTGAATATATCTATTTGTATATAAGAACAAGGATGGGGCATTTAAGACTGTTGTTGACTTGCTGGGCTTTGTGGATCTGGCAAATGCTGGGTATGCAGGCTTTCAGGTAGGTGAGACTTACTCCCCTCTGCATACTTTTTGTAGAATTTCCTTTTTTTGTGGCACACTCTAATTTAGCATATCAATAATTATAATTGGATAGAATAATTCTCAGTTGTGTTCACTAGTAGTTTTATGCACAAAATTTAAAGTTGTGCACAGTATTTTTTTAGAAGGGCAAAAATATTATTCTCAGAGACAGAAACTAGGAAAAAATATTTTAACTATTTTTTTTGTTTAAATGCATAATCCTTAGAAATGGAAAGAGCTAAATCCTAAAACTAGGAAATGAGACTGGATAGAACATTCATTTTAATCATTGAGATGAAGGAGGAGGAGAAAGACAGTTCATCTATTAAAAATAATTTTCATTTTCTGAAGTATCCTACGCTAATTATTCTTGGACAAAATCTTAGTGCTAAAATGCAAATGAGTGCAAAGAAATTTAAAGCCTTTCCATAAATGAATTTTGGTTGATGCTGAATCCCCTGAGGATCAGAGATTTTTATTCTCGTTATAGCTTCTATTTTTGCTTTTATTTAGGGGCTGTCTTTCCAGGGTACTTCTTGCCAAATTTCTGCCAGGGTTACGTTGTATAGATTGCATGGTGTAATAGTTTCACATTTTGTAATGTAAAAATAATGGTTTGAAAGACCTTCATGATTTTTAAGAACTTAAAAGGTTCAGCTCAAAAATTTGTCTTCCCCCACTTCCCTGCCCAGATGCTTCTATCTACTCCATTAGGTGCTCTTAACAGGAAGGTAATTATGTGCATCTCTGCAGGATCCACTGGACTGAAGTTTGAGGAATGAGTATTGGCAACAGTTTCTGCTCTCTTTCCTTTGAAAGGAAAGCTCATCCCTGGTTTTACAGCTGTTGCCAGGTTTTAAAATCCAGGTATTATAAACAGATTTTTCTTATTTATGTATTTTTTTGAGAAGAAATCCAGATTTCTGGGATGATCATTTTGTCCTAGATGATGTGATCTCAGAATTAGTAAGGAAATAGATCTGCTGTCAAAGCCTTTGAGAGGGTGAATAAGGGGGAGTCTTTTTCAGCATATCCCAGCATGCTGTCTCTGGCATTGCTTGCATCTGGGTTCAGGTTATTCAAGGAGTGTGAATAAGGGTTCCTACATGATCGCTACAGAGGAGACCATGAACTTACACTTTTTTCAGCCAAGAAAGATTCATTCCCAAGGGTCTGCATTCACTTGCAGTAGAGCACTCTGAAAATTCTGAACTAAGTTGAATTATGTTTCAAAATGCTTCCCATTCAAGGAAGCAATCTGGTCATTCTAGGACTGGAAAAGTTAGAAGAATGTATTAAAAACTCTCTATTGGTTTAAGTGAACACTGGATCTCAGCCTCTATTTAGAGAAACTCTTCATTAATATAGTAGTCTGCTGGGATCATTAATGGCCATCAATGCAATGTCTCTTTCTGAACTATGTAATGTCCTCAGCCAAATCCTAGGATACAGACCATGTTTTCTAATATGGAAGTTAGAAAGCTCTGTTGGAGCTGAGCTGTCAGGAACACTCAGTTATTTCCTTGCTGTTCAAGAATAGTTTCATGCTTTCCAAACAGAACAGTGATTAATGAGAATTTTATTAAAAGCGTTAATGGAGTAAACTTTTCTTTGTACAACTCTTTGAAGGCTGCGTCTGACCTATGAACTGCACAAATACAAGGACAGTCTTTTACATGGTTCCTTTAAAGCTTATTGTGAAACATTTCAAGTCCAGAAAACATAGTCCAGAAGCCTGAATATTTTCATGTTTAAAATTTCATTCAGACCCTTTACTGTGAATATTTTCCATTGTGACCACTTAGGGGCTGTTCTTAATATCCCAGGGTTAGTTTTAAACTAATTGTTTTTGCTTGCAATCTGTGCACACAGAGCAAGATGGAGGAGGAAGGATCATTACTTTTTCGTTAGTAAAGTTAGGTGGTGATGGGTGCAATATTTGGTAAGAGCATTCTTAATCTGCAGATTCAAATGTGCAATCATGTTCATTTTTCACAACACCCCCTTCTCATCACTTTTGCAGTTTTTCATGTAGGTGGAGTTTTAGGTAACAGGTGAAAAGGTTGTAACATAAAATGTAAAAGTTAAGATTAAGCTGTGTAAGGTATGAAGCAGAGTGCATGTATTAGCACAAGCATAGAAGACTGGGAGTCTACAGACAGACAGACCCAAGTTCCAAATCAGGGAGGAACTAAGCCAAAGCTTTCGCTAAATTTACCTCATTGAGATCTTGCCTAAATTTTTGGCTTGTTCTGCTTCATGTTCACTCAGAAATTTAGACGTTGGTCTAGAAGAAATAAAAATATTAGATGGAACCTGAATAATGCCTTGTCTTGTCATGGGTTGTGTTTAAATCAGATTTAGGATTCTCAGCCTCTCTCAGGAGATCCTTTTTATCTCATGAATATCCTTTAGTTGTAAATAATATTGAGCTCAAAACAGCAAGGCTCTAAAAGCTATTCATGAAAGAGTTCAATGCAGGTATTTTAACAAGTATGTCACCTTATTGCTGTCCTGTATGCATAATGCATTTTGACTGAAATATATCAATATAAATATTGATATTTACTCTTCAGCTGTACTGTTATTAGTACATATTGGTATTTATGTTATTGGTGTTAACATTAATTTTCTGTATTAAAATTCTGAGCTGCAGATTTTACTACATAAGATTCTCAAAAAGAAAATCTTAAAAATTGTCTGCAAGAGATGACTTTGACTGAGTTATAGTGTTGTGTTATGAAAGATGTGAATTTAAACCTTTCACCTTCCTCACGTATTTTTGTTTTCCATGGTTCAAGGGCTTTGACCTTTGAAGTATCCTCAAGTGAAGAAGCAAAAAGAAAATAACTCCACAGTTTTTTGGAGTTTTTTTTTTTGGGGGGTGGTGGGGGTGGAGAAGTGGCTAGGCAGGATGTGTGTGTGTGTCCATGAGGACCTCAGATACCTTAGAAATACCAGCAGTTCACTTTTCTACTGAAGGATGTTAGCTGAACATCTGACCAGTCAAAAACATTTTGAATATTCATAAATATTCACCCCAGAAAATAAAGCATTTTACACTACTTTTCATCTATTATTGTTGAAGAGTGGTAAGATTAAAATTGCAAATAACAACAGTTTACTGTGTGTTCTGCAAGTAAATGAGGAGGAGGCAGCAGGAAAGGGGTAAAAGGGAAGTTGATTTCAGTGAAAAATTAACTTCCTATGCTTTATTTGCCCAAAATGGCATCATATCATAGCTCTCTTGGATTACCTCTTGGCAATTCATACTGGAAAGAAGGGGGTGCTGTCTCACAGAAAATTGATGCAATTTGTGGAGTTGTCACCTCCAGCATGTACACTACAGCAGGAATACCTCTGTCATGACCTCAATGTTCCTTCTTTCTGTTCCAGATCTGTATGTCTTCTCACCACTGCCTAATTAGGTGATACGAAAAAACACAAATGTCCATTAGGGACCAGGCTGAAATTACCAGAGTTACTTTATTTGCAACCTACTTTGAATTTGTGTCTTGAGAATTGTGAAGTGGGCAACTGTATTAACTCATATTTTAATAAACCCTTGATAATTTATTATTAAATTTGGTGTCCTTCCCCACCTCTGTCTCCAGCCAGTCTCCATAACCCCTTACCCTTCACTTCAAAATTTCCTGGGACTTCTTTGCATCACAGGAAAGTCTAATGAAAATTAATTGGTAGCTCCACAATGTTTATCCATTATTTAGCACTTTATAGTACTTGAAACTAACGTCAGGCATTTGCCCTCCAGGTGCCCCATCAGCTGTCCTTATAACAGGTTAACCAAGAAATTCTAATTTGATTCAGTAAACTGGATGCTGGTATGCATACCATCACGGACTTCTCGCTATTATCTCTGGCTGAGATGGAATTCAGCAGCTAACAAGAGTAGTTAAGCATCTACCATTAAGAGTGAAGAGAAATCCTTTCATAATTTTAAATAGCTTTGCATTTCTGAAATGCTTAGGGATCACTTAAAATCCACAGATGCTTTTGAAAGAAGCACGGTTCACTGCACAGTCAGTCATAATGTTGCCTGGTCTGAGTACAGAAGAGATATGCAGCTGACGTAGCTTTGGAAGGTCACAGTTGCCGTATTTACTGGAGCTTATTATTAGCTGGAAACTCTATTTTTGCTATCAAGTGCTCTTGTCAAATCCAGGCTTGCTGTCAGAGGGCAGTGAAGAAGTGATATTCCCTGAGAAGCTGTCCTTCTTATGACCGTTCAATAGTCTCCCTAAATGAAGATTTAATGTATTTTGAATGGAAAACAGAATCTGTGTTCCATCCATTTTGAGTCAGGAAAAAACAAAAGCATAAGCGGCACTCAGCCTTTTCTCCATGGATACATTTCTGCAGAGCAGCAGGACTTTGGCAGCAGAGCTCTCTTCATAAAGCAAGCCATTTTCAGGAGGGTTGGTGGGGTTATTGTTTTTTCTTTCTCTTTTTGGAAGAAGAAATAACCCAAACAGTGTGTTCTGGGAGGTACTTTAGTGATTCCTGAAATTCTCTCCTTTACTTTCCAGCTTTTATTTTACTATCTAAGTATAATTTTCTTTCCTTCCCATGTGTTGTGCATCTGCTCTACAGGCTCCAGCCAGGAGAATAACCATATGGGGACATGAAAATCTCCACTGCATTGATGCCAGAAGACAAGTTTATGTTCATTCCAAATGGCATCAAAGGCTGCTTGTATATTTTCCCTTTACATCCCTTCCAGTGACTTAAATCTGTGGTGTTGTCTAAAGCACACAAGAAAAGAAAAGTCCTGTCAGATTATGAACTGAAAAATACTCCTCATAGTGCTGGAATTTGGATGATCAATGAGTTTTACTTTAAAGCACTTATACTATTGAGCATTTCCTGCTTCTTTCTTTGTCAGGTAGCAATTACTGCACAAGGACAAGCTCTCCTTCTGAGTGATCCCAGTACTTTTCTTCATTTTTACTCATGACAGATTCCTTCCCCAAACCTGCATAGAGGCAATATTCTCTGTAGGAGTGAAAATCATTCTGTTAAAATTTCTCCAGTGTCTGGTGTTCTCATTAGGTAAATGCCTCACCTGCTGCACTACCTTTATCATTCAGTGCTGGATAGAACTGGAATGAAAATACTGTGTAGGCATTGCTAAAAAAGACAGTCAACATCAACACAGCTTGATTCAAGCTGATGCTGTTAGTGACTTGTCCTGGGAAGGGGTACTTACCTCATGTTGGACAAGAAATTGTTGTGCACAATTGCTTGTCATAAAATGAAAGGTTAAAGAAAATTGTGCCATCGTGGAGAGAATGGCATTAAGAAAAAAGTAGTAATAATCAAAAGTCCTAGCTGCACTTAAGCAAAAGTAGCCAAATTCTGATTGCTTTCTAAAGAATTCAAACTGTGTGATATATACTTGTTTTTGTAAATAGCAATTTGAAAACACATGCAAACTTTTGACAGACACGGTCCTCACCTAAAAGTCTGGCCTAAAAGAAATTTGGTGTATGGAATTCATTTTCACACAGTAAAATCCATTTTGCTTGGAATGAATTCATTGCTAGAGGGTAAAAAAAGCAATACCTACCATTCTTTTCTCTGACATAGGCCAGGAACACTACTTGGTCCAGCATGGCTGAAAATCTCATAGCCATAGTGCAGTTCCACAGCATAGTGCTGGTTCCTGTGCCAGCTAGGACTACTGAATCTTGGTGCTGGTGTTGGTTTTCGAATGATGATGGCTTTGAGAAATATCTGCAAATAGAAACTTTACCCTGGAAATTTATTTGGATCAGACTGGAGCTGTCACTTATTAACTCCCTGGGACTGAGCTTCTTTGTAATATTTTTCCAAAGCTGGATCTGTCCTGCTCACCAGGCATGGAGAACTTTGACTCTTTACAAAGAGAAGAGTCAGTGTTCCAAAGTTACTTTGAGGAGTTAGTTTCTTTCCTATTGCTTTACACATTCCTATGCTTGTTCTTCTGGAGTTCTGTCTCCAGATTCCACTAACTTGCATATTTTCCAGTGCCATTTCTTATTTATCTGTGAGACACAGACATTATGGTCTGGTAACACTGAGAATGGTCAAAATCTATGCAAATAAACAGCTGTTCTAAAGTCAACGCTTTTCTGCAGCCGAGAAGAAGCAGCAGCCAACACAACTTCTCATGGAGTAACAGGCAGGGCTCTGTGGCTGTGGTGGATTATATGTCCAGAATATCAGTAGAGATGCAGCTTAATCTTTGTCCATGTAATGTCAAACAAGTGGCAATCTGTAAAATGCTCAATTCATCCAAACTTAGAAATACATATAACCATAATCTATTTCTATGGGAAACCTGCCATTTCAACTTTTGTTCATCTATGATACAGCTCAGTCCAGAACTGTAGACTGGTGTGTTGGTTGTGAATCATAAATAATCCATTCAGGACTGAATGTAGTCTCAGCAGCAAGAAACTTGTGCTGGTCAATGCCTCTGAAAGAATGAGTGTTGACTTTTGTGTGTTCCCTTCCTTCTCCTGTGTTGCATGTCGGCTGAGGCTGGGGAGTGAGTTGTTGAAGTATGGTTGTTAATAAGGAATGAGGGAGATGTTTTTGATCAGATGTGCACAGCTCTCCATAATCCTTGTGTTTTTGTTCTGTTAGCTTTCACAATGACACTTGGCATTTCCTTAATTGTTAAAGATGTTTTAAATAGATCTTTCTGAACAGATATTCTCTGCTGTCACATCTGCCACTTCATGTCAGACTTCAAACATTCCTGTTCTGGCTCAACTTCAGTATCCTTACAGTACTTGATATGTTTTCTCTGGGAAACATCTGCCAGATTCCAAAATAATTTCCTGTGATTTCTAAATGCCAAGGTAAATACTGGATGTGGCTGGGTTTAATACTGGCCTCATTATTGTAGCCACTCCTTAGAGGCTCCATTTTCTTTTTCCTTAACTTTTGGTTATTTACACTAGTGAAAATACATCTCATTCTTATGGTGTCGGATTAGCAGTGTAAATACCATCTTTGATTCTTTTAGGTATTGTCTGTCTATTTTCCTGTTCACTAAGGAATGATTCCTTAGCTCTTCCCTCCCTTTGATCTTGAATGCCACTTTTCCCATTACCATTATCAGAACTTTAATTACAAAGCACCACTCGCTATGTCTGTGAGTGGCAGAACCTGGCCTTAAAGTAATACATTTAGTCTTTTATCTTTTTATTTCTTTTTTATACAGCTTTACTTAGAATTGGCTTCAGAAAGATTATATTCAAAGGAAATTCACATTGAATTATAGTTTGATCAGTATTCCAAATGCTAGTTATTAGACTTTAAGCAGACTGTACTTGTGGACTGCATTCATCAAATAGGCTGTGCATACCTGTGCTGGAGAAGACAGGGAGAGAAGAATCAGTTATATTAATCTGTTAGTTAAAGTTGACAAAAATAATCTTTAATATTCTTTCTTTGTGTACATTGCATCCTGGTTATCTTGACTAGAGAAAACAGTTTGTAACACGAAAGAACTTTCATAAGCTGATTTTCAATAGTTGGAGGAGATTAGCGATAAGTTGACACAAGCTGTGGGCAAAAATGCTAATCATGAAATTATATGTTGCTGAATATCACCTTGTTTTGAATAAAATAAGGTCTGTGTTCCAACAGATATCTAGGCTGGAGATTCTGCTGTGAACAGTACTGCTTCCACTCTGCAGAATGGAGCCGTTATGGGGGGGAATAGCATAGCATATACTGATGTTAATTAAAATTCCTTTAAAATTGGTGAGAACTTTGCCTTTGCAAGGACCAATTCAGATATGTAAGCTAGTTGAAATCTATGTGTATATATAACTTTTTGCATAATTGCTTAAGAGGTACAAGTACTACCAACTTCATTAGTTATAATTTCTACAGCTTTATAAAGAATATTTAAATCAAGTCACCAGTTGTGCTAGAAATGCAATTATATCTAAGAAACAGCTGCTGTTTTACATTAACCTCTGCTTCCAGTCAACATGTATAACTGCAACATGAAAAAAGTGTCAATTCAGTGGAAGTATCCTAAAGTCAATAGCAAACAAAAAAATCCTGTTTGTTAAAAGATTTTCTTTTTCTGGAAAATGAAAAGAAACCATGCACAAGAACTTTTAAATCTCTTTACTAACATGAATTATTTGCATTTGTTTGCTTGCAAAACATTTGCTCTACTGTTTTCCCGTGTGCGCATGCCTGCTGAATATAATTTTAAAATATCTTTTCTGGGTAATGGGTTTTCTATAACTTTTATTCATTTTAATTTCAAATGGGTGCTTCAGAGTAGGTGCTTAACAGATGTTTTCCTGGGCTAAAGCTGAACCTTGATAAACGCCCCATCTTCTTTGAATGTTCCTTCTTTTCTTAGTTTTCATTTTTCTCAGAGAAACAAAATGAAAGATCTTGGCAAGGCAATTCAGCTTGACACTCTGAGGCATTGCATGAGTCATTGGAGGAGACTGGAATATATTCTCATTCTTTCCAGCAATTCAGCCTTTTTACAAGGTTCTTGTTTAGAAGTAATGGACAACCTTTCCATTGCAATCTCTTCCTCATGCTTTAATTCGCCAGGAGTGCCAGGATGATGGGCTCCACCATTATAAATACAGCAGCAATTGTAATTATTTTGAATATTTTCAAATATTTTTTTTTTAACCTGTTCTGTTTTCTATTCATGATTAGTCAATTATTTTCATGGATAAAAAAAAATATGCTGTTTTGTGAGCAGAACACAGTGAATCAAATGAAACAAAGTAATTAATGTGTTGGAAGTTTATTTGTGGTATTTCTTATTGAGTTCCTCCTAGACAGAACAACTGAGAAAAAATGCATGAGCAAAAAATTTTCAGTTATTTTCTAATTCTAGATGCTATTCCTAATGCTATTTTCTAATTCTAATTTTTAGATTCCATTTCTTCTCAGCTCTGCTTTTCATTGCTATTATAGTCTCTACAAATCTATCTGTAGTTAGTGCTGGATTGTAGTTTGAAAGATGTAATAGCAATTTGGGTTTATGATTCCTCCATCAGCTTGAAATAGAATTGAAACTGTTTTGAGTTAACCTCAAATTTAAGCCTTCCAAAACTTCAAGCCAGATCTCATTAATCTTCAGGAAAATAATCTTTTTATTTTAAACAGAATCATAAGTGTCTTTCTCTCACTGCTATACCTGTAGCCACTGCAGTGAAACAAGAATGTATATGGGGATCCGAAACAAACAAAAAACTAACAACACAAATACCTAAACTCAAATTGATGTATCAGCCTTGTGGAGAATCTGTGAGGCAGTAAAAACAGTGTCATGGTCTTTGGACTACCAAAAAGTGAGGAGTAATATAACAATTCCTGTGAAATACATTAATGTTTTTCCTTTACCAAAGTTCTTTTTTCAAAGGTTATTGAGACTGAAGCTTTCAGTTTAGGTGATGCCCAGAGGGAAGATTTGTTTTAGTTTGAATTTTAGATTAGTTACCAAAAGTATATGCTCCTCTTCTCCCCTCTACGATGTCAAGGTATGTATATATCATAGGTATGGTGTCCAATATGTTAGCTGTGACTGTTCTGCCACTGAGGCTGTCATAAATTTTGTTACTTGTAATTGATACTTATTAGAAACCTTTATTTCAGTCGTTTTAGATGGCGTGTGAGAAGCCCAGTGCTTGTTACCTAGTTCTGGAGACATGGTTTCTAGAGCAGCGTTTTATGCAGTGTATCAACTCAGCTGCACAGTCACCCATGGGCAATCTTCAGTCTCTGTGAAGGTGTGCAGGTTTTGGCTTGGGTAGAGTTAATTTTCTTCATAATAGCTTCTACATTTTGGACAGAGATGTTTTCAGAGCTGTGCTGCTGAATGCTGCTTGCACAGGGTCAAGGCTTTTTCTGCTTCTCACACTCCCCCACAATGAGTGCACTGGGGGCTGCAGGAGATAGAGATGGGACGCAGCCAGGACAGTTGACCCCAAATGACCAAAGGGATATTCCATGCCATATGGTAACAGGAGCAATATATAAAGTGTGGGGAAGGAGGAGGAAGGGGAAGGTGTTCAGAACGATGGTTATTTCTCTTCCCAAGTAGCTGTTACATGTTACAGGAAGCTGTGCTCTCCCTGGAATGGTTGAGAGGGGAGTGAGCAAATGGCTGTTTGGGACTTGGTTGCCAGCTTGGGTTAAACCACATGGGGAGGCTGAGTCTGAGAGTCTAAACAGAGACATTCCTCAGAGGACACTTAAACTGTCCCTGAGCCCACATTTAGAAGTTCATTGGTTTCCTGATCCATCAGCCTGGTCTCAAAAACAGCGATATGCTGGTACCAAGCCATGTGGGTAGATATACCTAATGCAATTTATTTTAAATCATAACCCTGAGATTGTTCTGTGGATCGATGTCTCAAAATATTATCGGCTGACATGAATCCAAATAGCTGGATATGGAGGTCTGTGGTGTATGGATGTTATTGCTGCCAACTATTATAAGCAGTCTGTTTTATTTCTTTCTTGGGGGTAAAAAGTCCACATTCACTCAAGAAACAAGAGGTGTTGGCCATTTCTAATAAATGTAAAATAGATTTTTACCATTTGCAGTTTTACTAGAGTAAATTTATACAACGTTACTGACAATTTGTTAGCACTTCTTTAGCTGTGAAAAACAGAAGAGCAAACATAGCGTTCATGTGACAGAGTGAGAAACAGGTTCTACTTCAACAATTTTGC